TGCCTCTTACTCATGCACAGTTTTGTAGCTCAAAGTGCTAACACTTGAAAGTCGTACATCACAAAGTTACCACCATGAAGACCATCCCGCTAATAAAACTAACACAATTTGAGTGTGCATATTTATGGTCCTCAATAACCCAAAAGTCTTCATAAAAATGAGAGCTGACATGGGTGGAAGGAATCCTCCAACGTAGCCCCTCACGAGTCCCCTTTAATGTATGAGACGTTCCATTAAAAGGGGAGCATGTCCTCGTGAGCAGAGCTTTTAGGTTGATTAGTTACAGGAATAGAAAAAAAGGACTCCCGATGACCTTCAGTAACACTGCTGGTAGGCCTCCAACATCCTTCCAATACACACACACAGCCAAAGCTCCAGTTGTTTAATATTCCAGCAGCAGCCCAGTGAAGCCATCTCTCATTTGACATCATAATTATTATTAGGAGAGAGAAAGAAAAAGGCAAATCTGCATGTTCAGTTAGAGCCAGCCTTATGCCAAATAGATAATAACACACAATATTGGCTAATGTCCTTGATTTAGGACTTCTCATGCTCGCCATCATTCTCCCTGCCTCTTGTTTGCTCTCCCTCCCTGAGCACTGATGCTAGAAAAACAGGCAAAGAAAAAGCTGAAATGTATTTGAAGGAGGGGGCAGTGGCAGGTCTGCAGCCAGAACCCGGCATGGTTAAGAACTCAAAAAAGAACATCTGGAATCTTCACCGGACATTTGAATTATTTTCTGAACAATGGGATTTGCTAAAATACAGTAGGACACACTTTATTGGTCCAGCAATAACATTTATATCAACATTAACAGTCCTTCCCTAGCCCTGGCCCTAGCCCACCCTTGATATTAGATGGCACTACAGTAGTTGGTTGAAAAAAAAGGTTACAGTCTCAGACCCTAAACCTATTATTTAAAAGGCACAGACTGGTGTTGTGCAAGGCCCTAGCAATAACTTTAAACCAGCGTTGTTCAGCCAGGGCATCACTATGGTTTCTGGGCCCCCTGATCAGCAAATTGGGCCCCCCTTGGTATAAATCACATTCAAAAGGTTTCAGAGGTCAGGGGTTGGAATTGTCCTAATCTTCTCCCTGTTTCGGCGCCCCTGTGTCCAGCCCTGCTCCTGGAGAGCCAACTTCCTACAGAGAGTTCTCCTGCAGAATTTAGCTTCAATTTGCTCCAACAGGGTTTGCTCAATTGGGGTTGAAGCTGAAATCTGACTCTCTAGGAACAGGATTGAACTTTTCTCCCGCACCCTTACCCCTGAAATCAGATGGACTGTAATAACTGGTTGATAGGTATGTTATTGCGGGACCTAGCCCTTAACTCTAAAATCAGAAGGTACAGGTACAGACTAACTTGATTATAGTTTTTAGGCTTTAGCAAAAACTCCAAACCAGACATGTCCAATCCTACTCATGGAAAGTCAACTTTTTATAGAGTTTAGCTCCATTCTGCTTCAACATAGCTGTCGGTCTTGAGGATCTTAATCACGTGGTTCAGGTGTGTGCATTCTGCCCCTTTATGAGCAGGTTTGAACATCCCTGCCACAGCCCTACACCTAAAACCGGGCAGCAATGATTGGCTGAAAAGAATGTCTTTGTAAGACCTGGCCCTAATTCTAAAATCAGAAGATATAGATGGTTGGTTGGCTGTAGCAAAAACATTAAAGCATGTGGCCGTCCAGGAGCAAGATCGGTCACCCTGACCTAAACCTACCAGAAGATCAAGGGGCAATGACATTTAATAGGATTGCTGTGCAACAAAGGATGTTGATCTAGAATCATGTTCCACTTGTGCAAATCACATTATGGGAATACTTACAGATGGATGTAAGATCATGTGAGTACATCCTAGCCTCATGTCACAAAAACTAAATATACAAAAACAAAAAATAAAAGAACCATAAACGAAAACCAAACCACCTATGTTTTCTGCCTTTACGTAAGGTCCCCATTTCCATCAAAGAAGCGAGGCAGATGATTGCCCTTAAACTTGATGATGGAGGAGGACAGTGGGATGCATCTGCAATCCATCCCACAGCGGTGGCCTGGCGGGCAGGCTAACTCCTACGGTGGAGTGGGCTGATAGATGAAGCCCTCTTTCCTGGCCTGCCACACGCCCAGACAGGGCGAGCTCCATGTGGGCCCCATAAGATGATGAGCCAGACTGCAAGGAGGAGACAGGTCACAGTGGCCTCATTAACACCACCATAAACACACACTTGCCAAACAAGCATCACACTCAATCTCACACACTGCACTGCGAGGATAGAGCTGAAGTGTTTTTTTAAACCGGCCCTTTGGTATTTCAGGTGATGGGATTCAGGTAATTGTGTTTTCTCGGAGATCAGGGTCAGGGGAAATGTGAATGGCTCTTGCACTGTGGGTGGGATTCACCTGCAGTGGGATTTCAGCTTCAGATTTGTCCTGTCCAATAGCTGGAAAGTGCATGAAATCCATTTCATCAGAAGATGTTCTTTCCTTTACTCAAAGGGCAATTGTGTCTTCTGCCAATTAGCAGAACAAGCCATTTTCAGACAGCACACCTATCTTGCAGAGAAAATTTATTTTTTCTTTTGCATGATCTGTGAGAATGTTGCTAAGATGTTTCTTAAAATCAGGTACAATGATGTGTTCATTTGCAGATTAACACATTGTTACATACATTTGCTTACCAGGTTATCAATCACAAATGTTAAAAATCACTCTGTTACTTACATTTGCTTACCAGCTTCTCAACCAAAAATAAGTTGAAACCCTTCAAACATCATCTCCAGAGTGTACATGGACCTGGCCTGGACATCTTTCTCACTAATGGTACACAAGCACTTTGTTGAACATGTTTCTTCAGTTGTCTCCCAAATATCATGCCTTAGTTTAAACTGTAGTACTTGTGCTAATATAAGCACTATATAGCAACTATATTTCTCAATATGCAAGTTGTGATGACATCTAGTTTTAGTAGCTGGATTCTTTACTGCTGCATTCCTCTAAGCCTTGCCATTATAATTTGGTAATCCTTTTCCTTTCCTTTGCTGTGATGGCTAAAATCACAACTTTGAGAACTATTGCAGAGCTAGCTGATTGATATTGGTGGTAGTTGTGGTGAGTACCTCTTTCTTCAATAGCAGGATTCCTGTTTCAATTTTCAAGGATCTTGATAGTTTATAGAGGCTGTCAGTAAAACCCAGCTCCCTCAATACTGCTTTTTTATCTCATCAAACCAAGTAGAGAAAATACTTCTATTCAGGGGAAACATCAGCATCAGTAATATCCAATTTACTGAAAAAGGAATGAGGCGGTTGACCGTATAATAACATGCTACATGAAGCTTGGAATGGAATATTTGAATAGAAAATGCATTTATGGTCAAATAAATGTATCCAAAACCAAAGTAAATCAAAGCAATTAATAAGGCATTGATGCAATTTGGAGAACGCAAACAAACATGCAAAATGATTCATGGCAGGAAGCAAAGTGTAGAAACAGCCTTAGACCTTATCTGAAAATTCAATGATCGCTTAATAGAGAATCTATCTATCTATCTATCTATCTATCTATCTATCTATCTATCTATCTATCTATCTATCTATCTATCTATCTATCTATCTATCTATCTATCTATCATGACAGTCAAATAATTACAGTGGCTTCCTTTACAATAGTCTCCCACAGCCTGCCTGATACAATACCAACTGCTTGTATCTCAACATGTACAATGTCACAGCTTCAAATATATCTAGAATCTTTATAATGTATGTGTTGCTTTTATATTATATACATATTTATCTCAAACGAGTTGATAGTTACAGTTAACGTTTGTCTTTTTACATTTTATGATTTAATTTCAACAGTCAATTGGATGACATGGAAACCCACAAAGCTAATTGACATTTCTATAATTATGTCTCACATCTCAGAAAAGCCTCTTGGGAATGTGTTTTAGATTTACATCTAGAGTCTGCTACAATAATATACAACTGCTAAGATGATAAATGTAACCTTGGTAAGTCCTGTGGAAAACTGCTGTCTCTTTATCGCTGCATAAATACATAACTATGCATGTTAATTTACACACTTTGTTTGCAATTCACTGCTGGATTAACGTCCATCATCGCTGGCATCAATTAAAAGCACTTTGGTGTTTTATGCAAAATCACAAACAGGTTGTCGACAGAAAATCAGCACATCTGCAACATGTCTTTCATTTATATTGTCCACCATGAATTTATAGCACACATGCTAAACAGTTTAGTCAACCATAAATAAGTAAAGACAACACTTTTGTGCATACTGGTTGTGTGGAAACACTAATAACAATCATAGGAATTAAATATAACTTTTTGACAGCAAATGTTGATTACAAGGTAATTTCGACTCTTGCCTTAGTTTGCAAAATAGAATAAATGAAAAAAAAGTACTTCTGGTTACTCTTGTGAGTACAGTGGATGCAGTTATTTCTATGTAAATGGACTGTTAGATCATGTCTTGTCCATGTCCCTGTCTGTTTCCTTCTGCACAAGTAACTAGGTTTATTTATATAATTATTAGTAATTATAGTTTACATGTTTATGATATGGGTTAAAGTGTTATAGTTATTCTTTATATTGTTTTATATTGTTATTCTTTATATTATAGTTATTAATTATATTGTGATAATTCATCTATGAATGTCTACTGTCAATACTTTTTAAAATAAGTATTTATAACAATCTAACTATATAATGGCAATGATATGGCAATATATTAGTAATTTATTACTGTTAATGGATTTTTTCATTCATTTTTACAAACTAAGTGATAAATCAACATGATTTTTCATGCTAATTGACAGTTATCCATGGAAAGAGCTCAAGTATTTAACTTGCAATATTACTTTTTCCCAATCCTTTACATTATGACGCAAAGATCATTATGCAAAGTTGAGTATTAAAGGGAATTTAATTTGACAAGGACTTTTCTTATTCTTCTATGGAATGAAATGTTCTCCTACCTTCAGAATGATGGGACAGGGTCAGAAGGCTCACACAAGAGGCACCAATTCCTGATCCAAAAACAGTGATGCGATTGGAATCACCGCCGAAATAGCCAATGTTCTCGCTTATCCAACGTAGAGCCTGGATCTGATCCAAAAGCCCATAATTTCCCTTAGCAGCCTGGTCTCCTGTGCTGAGGAACCCTGTAACAGAGTGAGGACACATAGCATTAAGAGAACCTGCAGCACCTGAGGATCCTTCTTAAGGCTCTTGTCAAACAAACTCATGCATTTTAACTTCATAATTGGTCTCACACTGTTTTTGCAATGGACTTGAATAATACCTCACACTGAGCAGCTCGCTGAGGAAAGGTGTACTGTTTATTTTTCGAGCAATCTGACTTTTTGCCTGGTAGATGTGAAAAAATAAGTGAAAAAATCCCATGGACTCTATTTGAATGAGACACTCAAGGCCTATCTTGAAACCAGAATATCATGGAGGGGGGATCTCTTTGGACTTTAAGACCCCTGCAAGTGCATAGCAATGCACTAAAATACTCCAAATACTTTGGCAACTGCAAACACAGCCACTCACATTTTCTTCATAATTTTTTTTGTAATTTGAACAAACGTTAATCATAAAGAAATAAAACATGAAGAATAGTAGAAATGGCAGCATTCTGCTTCTGAAGGACATCTCAAGAAAAACATGCTCCATTATAAAATAATAAAAGCTAATGTAGAATGCTGTATTGATAGTGTGCTGACCAATATTTGTGCTCAAACACATTATTGCGTATTATTATTAACCAGAATTCCTAACCAGATTTTCTAGCAGGGAATAGAGAAACATGACTGAGACAATGTTAATCTACATGTTGCCTCCAGAAGAGCCATTATTAGCGCTGATAACAGGGAAATTAATTTTCTGATACATAGAGGTTAAATGTTTTATCTGGATTGCTTCCTGTCTTCACTCCGACACTGTATGGTTAACTTTGACAACCTGACATCTCTAGAGGGGAGGCCTCAAATTGCAGGGCTGGTGTTAACATGTGTGGCACTGTGTGTTCGTGCGTATGTGAGAGAAAACGAGAGACTGAAATAGAGAAGGGGAGAGTGGGTGAGAGAGATAAGAGGGGATTCACTAAACAGCTGTACGACTTTAACATGTAGCATTTCGGTGCAAACCCCTGCATCTTATTCAATAACCACCTGCAATTCCGTTTAAGCAGGCACCAAATGTGCTGCAATATTGCTACACCATGTGTAAATTAAGCCATATTTTATAGAATGTGCAGTACTGATTGTGGCAGATGATCAACATGGTGATCAAATAAAGCAGAAGCACATTACAATTGAAGATAATTTTTCTCTACAATCAAGGAACCAATGAATGATGGGCAATATCAACTTTATTTACAGACCGATTGCATGTGATCTCAATTTGCTAGCAGTGTCTGAAAGCTAGGAAGTAGGAAGGCATGTCCGAATCTATATATTTGCATTGCCTTCATCTGGTTGGCTTTTGAAGGCAGCATAATGTATCCTTCACTGCCTGTGATATCCCACAATGCATGCAAGTCAGCGGTTGGTGCTATCTAATGAAGTGGTTGATTCCATTTCCTCCAAGAAATAAGTTGCTTGGGTATGTCTAAAGCTCACTTGAATTTCCTTGGGAGGAATCTTTATACAAAAACGCAAGCGAGGCAGCTGCCTTATTTTTGGACACAGCTTAACGTTAGCTTGTTAGCATGTTGAATGGACAGTGATTAAACACCTCTTTATATCAGCAAACAACTGTAATGTGAAGTGAGTGCTCTTCCTGCACAGACAGAAAGGAAGGTTCACCATCTTGCTCCACAAATCCATTTTTATTGTGCTTTCATCAGGAACAAATCAATTGAACAGCATGTAATGTATTAGCATATCAAATAAAGCATGTATTTTGAAATGCTGCTTCCCGTACAGAGGAGCGTGCACAGATAAAAGAAATAGGTTTAAAGAGAGCAGCTTTCCTGAACACCTCAAGGGCATTGGCAGACATTCTGCACTTCATTATGTCACTTTATATTGACGTTGAGCCGCACGCCGAATCAAATCAAATGAGTTAATTCACTTATATTCATGCAAAACACACCACTGCATTTTGCTTTTCAAATGCTTGTTAATGAGCACAACCAAACATGTGATTATTCACTGGGAGACCTCACCTAAGCACACAACTAGAGGTGTAAAAGAGCAGCAATTTGAACATTCTAATTAAATGAATTACATAATATATTACATAATAATACAGTAATAATGTAAAACCTCTTGAGTTACACTTTATTTTAAGGTGTCCTTGTTACAGTGTAATTATGCATTACTTACTATAAGGTTAGGGTTAAGATTAGGGTTTGGCTTATAGGGTTACTTGCATGTAATTATGCATAATGTATTGTTATTATAATAGTAAGTACATGTAACGTGTAACAAGGACACCTTAAAATAAAGTGTTACCACGTCTTATATGGTTTTTTGTCAACATCCCATTACAATGACATGTCTTCAGCATATTTTATATAATAATTATGAATATGGGTTTCAATTACATCCTTTGATTTTTTTATTTAATTATTTTATAATAATTTTTACATTTGTTTTATTGTTATTATTATTAATTTGTTATAATGTTTGTATAAAACATTTTACATAAAAACAACACATTTTAGGAATGGCTTGGACTGAAAATGGTTCTATTTAAATTGGGGGTGTCCGTGATGCAAGGACCATGAAGCAAACCAACCCACAGGCGACATTTAAAAATATATTCTCCATGGTTTGTGGATGTATTTTAATTGGAAATGTGATAGCAAATGTTTTCTCTGGAAAGCAATTAAGATTTTTTAAAGATGGTTTTTATGCCTCATGGTTTTATGCAGGGCTTTTGTAGAATTTACAAAGCACTGGGGTCATACGGAGGTTGAACTGAGCCATTATATTTGCTTTTGCTTCAACCTGTTATTGCCTGTTGCATCACTCCACTATGTTTATGTTGTATAGGACTCTCACAGAATTGTACAAGATTTTACACCCAGCTTTAAAGAAAACACACACACACACACACACACACACACACACACAGAGCAATGTATTTGTAATCTGCTATCTGTACATTTTGAGCATCATATATGGTCTCTAGAGATGATGGTACGTGTTAATTTGATGATAATGCAATACATAACAATATTATTATCCCCTTGGGGAATGGAATATGCTATCCACAGGCAATTTGTGTGCAGAAAAAAAGCTCATAAGGTGATTTTCAATATCAGTAGTACTTAACATCACTAAAGGTGATGAAACACAGACTCTCCTGTAAGAGTTTTCAACTTTATTATATGCTTTTAACAATAGGTGTCATTCACAAAGCAGGCTGAAAGAGGGTGAAAGCTCTGTCTCAGGCCAATCCTGCACTTCACATTCCACCATTGTAAAACACTTTTTGGCTCAATCGCACACACATATATCGATCAATGCAGCACCAATGACATGACATTGAGCTGGTTGGAGTTCGGCAGGAGCTGACGCTGGAATATAACCACATACAACAAACCCTCTGGACAGGGCTCCAGACTGCGTCTAAAATGGTCGCATTTCTGACCAAAAATATTAATTTGCAAGGTTTTGGTGAGATCGCCACTGGCAACTATCTAAATTTACGTGTTATGATTTAAAATTGTCCATGTAATGCCCTTTTTTCCTGGTTGTTTTGCAATCTCATATTTTGTTACGTTGACGTAATAAACGGAGACGATGCACAAAGACAATGCACAAAGACTTAGTGGAAAAACAGTTGTGGCAGATCGAAAATGACGGAGACGTGCAAAGTACAGCATGCAGAAAAGCAGTGTCTATTTCATGCACAACTTGAACAAACTACAACAGGTAAAGCTATCATCTGTGTGGATATTAGCAATATCAATTCTCGTTTATAATCGATACGAATATGGCTTCTTTATCTAGAACAAGATCTTTAGTCCATATGCTGTGTTCTGTTAATGCATGAATTTCATATTTGTAGAGCACTTGCCGTCCAATAATCACTATAAGCTTTCTGCTTTGTTACATTTTAATAAACAAAGTATCAGCTTTAAAATTGTCAAATTCGACGAAACGAAATTCAAACAATAAATACCATTTTGGCGCTCTTTAATGCAGCATGAGCGATCGATTTATCGCCTCAATTCAAGCGGCACGTGAACCCATCAGATTCTTCTCTTTATTACTGTAGTACGAAATAAACATGAATGAACATCAAAAGGTACATTATAAGATAGCCCACAGTACAACTTACTGAAATCTGTCATGTAATCGCTCATTCAGTCTTTTCAAACTGCGGAAAACTAATCGTATAGCTTGTAAACAATACCATGTAACAATCATTTACCTCAGAATAACTATTTGGCATCCATAAGCTCATTAGTCAGCTAGAAAAAATAACTATAACGAGGAGCATTTTACTAAATATATGCGCTATATTGCATATTCATATTTTTACTTAACCTGTTGTCTACATGATAAGAAAGAATGCAAGGAGCTAAAATTCAACATCTCCTATATAACTGCATGTTACTAATGAAGAAAAACAGACTGGATGTGTGCAGGACATATGACAGCATTTATAGGATGCATTGAGGAGGAGCCTAAACTACACTCAGTGGCCAAGTGATGCTGACATATTTATAGTCTGTGATATTGGCACAGATTCTGTGTACACAGTTCTCAAGTTGGAAAAGATGTTTAGTTTCCACTTTAAGTGAACCTTAGTCCCCAGGACATCTATGACTGAAATGTGTTAATAAATAAATAAATAAAACGTGTTTATTCTGTGGCACTTAAGGAAAAATTATAATTTGGCACCTAATTTTGTTTCTTATAGGAGCCATTGGCTCCTTAATTGATTTTTTAGTCTCGAGCCCTGCTGGAGATTTCCTCGCCTTCTTTCATCACTAAAACCGTCAGGTGGATTGCACAATGCTGTCCATCCCATGCTTTGCCCTACGTTCATCTACCCTGTCACCTGGACAGCTCATCAGAAAGCCTCATGTTTGAAATATCAAAATTTTCAAATTTCATGCGTTCCCAAGAGCCTAAAACTTCACATGCTTACTTTATTTTTAGTAATCTATTGTATATTAGAATGGCACACAAATGTATGT